TTATTTTACTCATTTATTTTTTCTATTAATATCATTAATTTATTTAACTTTTTATTTGTCTAACCATTCACTTGAGAAGCTCAACTTTTTGAAGGAAGTCTTCAATTCCCAGTATTATGCGAAAAATGTTGAAGATGAAGAAAAACCTGTTTTCTCCAGTACTTCAGATGGATCAAGTGATGAGGTTCATTACTAGCTTTTAAGTTTTATTAAAGATTAATTTCTATGATTCTTTTCAGTAACTCAACATTTATCAACTGCTACTTATTATATTTATATAGTGTTTTTTCTTTCACTTTTATTTTTCTCCAGTTTGATTGCGACACTTTTGACGTTGGTGAGGGGAAAAAAAAAGAAGTCAAGCAGAAAATTAAAGGTCATGATGATGCTGAAAATTGCAGTCAAAGCAAGCAAGCAAGTCCCAGAAAAAGAAAACGAAATTCGCGTTTTTTGAAAGCTGTATTTAAAAAAAAGCCATTATTTAGTTCAGGTTGTTTTGGGAGTCAAGCTATTGTATGAGTCTGTAGTTGCTCAATATTTTTAGTGTTAAGAAGGTCTAGCACTATTTATAGGTGAAAAGTCGTTTGAAGAATATTTTAACGAATATTATGGTCTGGAATATGAAGATATAATTGCTGATGGGTTGATAACAAAATTCAAATATCGTGATGTAATAGCCAATAATTTTGGACTTACAGTTGATGAGGTGCGTTTTATATTTGTCATATCAAAATCGGTTGAGTTTTATGTAATTACGTCACAGGTCATTTAAGGCTTTCTTTGTTCAGCGAGGGACTTCATTAAATAGCTTGCTGAGGAATATGTTTGCATTTATATGACCTCGTGTTTGAAGTAGTCTTGCGCTATTGTTATCTTGGATGGAAAACATGAATTTTGCAGGGTGTTTCATATTTTTAGTTGTTAAGTGCTGATGATCGGCAGTTAAATGCTTGGGCCTCTTTGAAAAAAGCTACAGCTTATCGTTCAGAAGCTGAAGAATGGTACGATGTGAAAGCTTACGAAAAGAAAGCCTTAAATATTGAAAAGAAAAAAAGGATTTTCAGCACAGATTTCGGAGGGTACATGAAGCTGTTATTTGTAGAAATTTTGATGATATAATAGGGTAATGAAGAATGGTGGCTTTGTAATCTCAAGTTCTTGAAAATACTAGTGTTTTAATTTTTAGATTTCATTCACTGACAAAAAGTAGGAACAAATGTTTCTAGCATTTAAATTAATTTGAGCATAACAAAGCTATAATTGCAGAAAGAAGTCTAAGAAACTGTCTGAGAATATTAGCAACGCAACCAGTAGTGTACAAACAAGTAATATAAATAAAAAAAGAAATAGACGAAAAAAAAAGCATATGAAAAGCAATCACAAGTTGTTGTGTGCAGCTGTTCAGGAAACTAGCGTTGGAACAAATGTAAGTCAGACAAATATATTTTGGCGTTCAGAACAAAGTGTTGTATATGGCCGTTGTGGTAATTATATGTACGGAAACCAGTGATGATTATCGTAAATTTGTTCATAAATGACTTGTTAGAATCTCTGGCAGATATGTTTCTATTTAAGAAGTTAGGATAATGAAGACTGAGTTACGTAATATGAACATCCTGATTTTTTTAGAAATCGAAGATTGGTTCAGGAAGAATTCATAAAAAAAATGAAAATTATGGCAAATTTGAAGAGTTTAGCGCAGCAGTTGGCATCGATAATGATAGACTTCGTGCTTACGGCATTAACCCCAAAAAATATAAAAGCAAATTATTCCATCGTCAGTGGAATTCCTTACGTAAAAATGAGAATCCGTGAGATAGTTGATTTCAATCTATTCTTTTGTTTTTATAACTATTAAATCTTATGTATATCATCTTATTTTAGTAATCATATTCGTTCTAACATCAAGTATAGAAAATTAGAGAAATGACTAGTGATTTTTTCGAGGAGGAAAATAGTTTATTGACAAAAGTACGAAAAATGTACTCGGGATTGTAAATAAAATGCATAAACGTGTGCAATCAAAACTTGCTTCCAAAATTGTATTCATAGCACTAGTATGATGTGCATTTGATGTGCAACAAGATGTTTTTTCAATACATCTTATGACAGTTTAAATATTCTAACTGC